CGTGTATATATCAAATTAAAGCCCTATCTTTCTAGTTTCCAAAGATTCAAACCGCTCATCGATTGGATTTTTATTGAGTAAGTTATGGCCAATTTACTACTAATTGTTAAGTGAAAATCGAGAAACAGGGGAAACCGAAATGTGTGTGATGATAAAATGAATGGTTCAGAAGTGGGGCTACACTTATCCAAATTAAGCGTGTAATATACCGAATTAAAGCCCAGTATGTCTAGTTTCTAAAGATTCAAACCTATCATTAATTTGAGTTTTATTGAGAAAGTTATTATCAATTTACTATTGATTGTTCAGTGGAAATCGAAATGTATGTGATGATCCAAATTAAGTGTATAATTATCAAATTAAAGCCCTATCTGTATAGGTTTCAAATATTCAAACCTAGAATCAATTATATTTTTATTGAGCTGGTTATGACTAATTTACTACCAACTATTCAGTAAAAATGGAGAAACAGGAGAAACTAAAATGTGTGTGATGATAAAAAGAATGGTTTGACAGTGGGGCTACAGTTATCCAAATTAAGCATATAATATATCAAATTAAATCCTTGTATGTCTAGTTTCTAAATATTCAAACCTATCATCAATTGAATTTTATTGAGCAAGTTATGGTCAATTTACTACTGATTGTTCAGTGGAAACCAAAATGTATGTGATGATAAAAGAAATGGTTCGGAAGTGGGGCTACAGTTATCCAAATTAAGTGTATAATATATCCAATTAAATCCCTGTTTATCTAGTTTCTAAAGATTCAAACCTCTCATCAATTAGATTTTTATTGAGCAAGTTATTATCAATTTACTACTGACTGTTTAGTGGAAGTCGAATTGTGTGTGATGATGAAAGGAATGGTTCGGCAATGGGGTTACAGTTATCAAAATTAAGCGTATAATATATCATATGAAAGCCCTGTCTGTCTAGTTTCTAAAGATTCAATTCTCTCATCAATTAAAATTTTATTGAGCAAATTATGGTCAATTTAATATTGATTGTTCAGTGGAAACCAAAATGCGTGTGATGATAAAATAAATAGTTTACTTAACCTAAATTTAAGAGATTATCATAGTAGGACTGATAAGAAATATTTCAAATAACACCTATTAATTGGAAAACAGAATCAATCAAAATTAATTCATTTAACATATATACTCACACATCAACAGAACATAAATAATAAATTATTCATATAACAAATTAAAATACACGAATGTTTTTACATAAAACATATTCAACACAACTGAATTGTTTCCACTAATATAGATATGACATATGCTCATAGTTCGGCTGACAATAGGATCATCCTCGATTTGATCTTACTAAAATACATGAAGATTTCTTTGAAAACAAACATAACAAAATTTAATCGATCTTCATGTTAAGATTTGTTAAGGAACAATCATTCATTCGTATAACAACTGTTACCTGAAAACGAAATCAATAAAAGTTAATTAATCTTCATATTAAAATTGTTAAGGAATACACTTACCGTTCAGCAGGACTAACATAATTAATCATTCAAATAGATTGACTGAACAAAAACAATCATTCAATCAAATAATAACCGTTAAAATAGTAAGGAGATATACTTACCATTTCGTATTAAAATAGCTAGAAGATATGCTTACAGTTCAGAAGAACGAATCACAATAACAACTCATTTGACAATGCCAATCGGACATCCTGCCTTTATTCCATGCCAATTCATGAATCTTTGACCTGTAAATGACAACAAAAACATAAATAAATTAAAAATCATCGATTAATAAAATCATGAAGAACATACATATTATTGATACAAACTAACATGACCTATAAACAATTAACAAAATACTAGACGTATTGTTGGCACCAACTAACATATTGCGATAATACACAACTGAACATACGCCCCTTTTATAACCCCTTATTTAGATCTTTCGAATGTCAACACAATTAAATACGAATTGAATATGAACTGAATACGAAAAAAGGTTTGCAATGTCAATACAATGCATCTATATAATTATTAATAAACAGTATGCTTTTACTACCAATACAATGCACCTATGTAATCCAATCTTTATGTATATATATTTAGACTTTGGAACACCACTGCAGCAATTAATATTGTCTACATCATCACCAATAAAATTCAACCACATGGCAATCACAAATCCAAGGTGTCCTTATGGTTAGACCTTTAGAATGTCAATGCAATGCACCTATATAATTAGTATTATTATTAATTATTAATACAACAATGCAATGCACCTATGTAATCTAATCTTTATATCTATTTATTTAGACTTTGGAATACCAGTGCAGCAATTAATATTTTATACATCTTCACCAATAAAATTCAATCACATGACAATTACAAATATAAGGTGTCATTATGGTTAGACCTTTAGAATTCCAATACAATGCACTTATATAATTAGAATTGTTCCAATTTTTTTAATTAATTAATAATTATAGATTGAGCAATAAATACCAATCCAACGTGTCAAGATAAAACTATTTGGCTGGCTTGTCAATCCAATGTGTCAAAATGGACCAATTCCAGAGCTTCCAAAATGTGTCACATAGCGAACAATCTGTATGGGTATTCATGGCGAACAACTAGTATGGGTATTCATGAATCTTAGAGTTAAAAATATATCATTAAACTACACATCCAACGTGATAAGAGATAACAATTCTAGAGCTTCAAAATAAAACAATTTTAGAGCTAAAAAAAAAAAAAAAAAAAAACAGGTGTAATACATGTCACTCCAAAAGGTATGCTTTTACCTTTGGATTTAAAATATCAATTCAACAATTAATATCTCTCTACAATATCACCAATAAAATTCAACCACATAGTAACCGCAAAATCCTGCGTGTCAAAATAGAACAATTCTATGAGTTTCAAAATGTGTCACATGGCGAACAACCTGCATAGGTATTCAGCTTTATATATATATATATATATAGAGAGAGAGAGAGAGAGAACAGCAAAATATCCCAAAACATTTAACTAATTACAAGTAAGTGATTAATGTAATGTTTATTTTGTGGAACGGAATAGTAATGGTAATGAGAATAGAATAGGTTAGGAATTCCATTCTTTGGTTATAAGAATAAATTTTGAAGGAATAGAATCAAATCCGAGATATGGATAAATATATTAAAATTCAATTATTTTTGTTTAACATTATATGTTCAATATATATATACATAAAAAATAAAAAATATTATTACATTCCATATATATTATTTTTGAATTGTTTTCGAAATTATCAAATAAATACGAAGCATTCTGTGTTAAGTTAGTATAATAATAAAAACATTTTTATCTCATAATAATTTTATTAAATGAATATAAAAAATTATAATATATTTATAGTTAATCACACATATTTGACCTTTCATCTCCGTACGTCCACAAAGCAATCAATTGACAAAAGGTTAAGCCAGGGCCTTACGGACAAATCCGTTCATCTTGTTGAAATCACAATGACAATAAAAAGCAAGCTTCCAGGGGGGGTGGATCTGTCATGGCCTGACCTCATCACCATTGTCAAAGTTTTGGAATTTCTTTTGGAATATATGTTCGTCTTCACCATATACATAACATAATAAACCATATCATGTTGTAGTTGCACTGTCATTCAAATGTACGAAACATATATCCATTGGTGGCGTTGCAATGGACAAAATATTTCAACAATAAACATCATATAATATGATTTCTCCAATGAAACCTGCGCATCCACACCTTGGTTCCATCGTACATGAGCACGAAATGAGGGAGAATCTAACACCACCTTGCAATGGACAAAGGTATTTTATGTTAGTATTTTTCTGCTTACAGAATTAACTTTAAAGTCTAAAACTCGTTATACATATTCTTTCATATGAATTCACGTAATTTAAGCGACTTTAAATTAAAAACAAAAACAAAAAAACTTTCAAACATGATAGCATATAGTGTTACTGTAAGAATAGTTTTATCCCGGTGTGTTTTATACGTACGGATTGTTGGGTTGCCGTTTTTGGCAAGAACAAAGCAAATAAACAAACAAGACTGCAGTACAGTCCTTTCCCTAATTGGTACTTGCCATATTGAGCATGTGCAAAGACTAAAGTGAACATCGAAAACCTCCAATCATTACAAAGTCTGAAACCATGTTGGAAACAACAGTTTGCTGTGTAATGCTGGCGGCGGAGTTGCAGAGCCGACCTTTTGTTTTCTACTTCTCCCTCTTTTCAAGTCTCTTTCTTGTGTCTTCCCATTTTGTTTGGATTTACAATGCAGCTATATATTCCAAGTCGTTTGATGTGTTTTCAACTATGCAAAACTCTTCTTCTCCAGTTTCTTAGAAGGTTACTTGGAGCTTCCTGAATATCTCTAGTGGTTCATGTAAAGGACCGCCTGTTTGAGTTTATACTGCAGGTACATACTGAAGCTCCTCATATTTTATTTTTCGAAATTTCAATAACTTTGAGTAGGTGTGGTGATCATGGCGATCCACATGTTATTCTAACTTGTTCTTCTGAAAAGATATATAACAAACCAGTGATAAAATGATTTTATGTGCAGTCCTATTAAAAAAGGTATTGAATTATGTAAGAATAATTTAGTTCATGGTGGTGATCTTTTCATTGTTTGTATTAATACGCAATCTGGGATTTGTAGCTATGATCAAATTATCTTCCTGGTTATTGTGAAAATACTTGAAAGAAATTAAATTTAAAATTTTGCACTATTTGGAACCCAAAAAAATTCAATATCTTCTAGCTATTAACGTTCAAATCAAAAATGAATCTTTGGAATTCTATGCATTATTGAAAATGGGTTTCTGGTTATGTTTTTCTTCTTATAAGAAAATGAATTGTGTATGATGGTGTATTAGAGATAAGATATATGTTTCATCCTGCAGCTTATCTACATCGACTGCTTGGTGGGAGTTGAAAGAGGAGAAACACAATGGAGAAGATATCAACTGCTCTTGAGCTATCAACAACGAAACTGTTGACTTGGTACAAACTTTTTATTCATCATCTTGTTATATTGATTCCTCTTGCAGCAGAGTTATTCTCATACTTAAGTTAAAAGTTATTCCTCGTATGTTTTTTGTGGCGATTTAGATTAGAGAGATCGCATATTTAGGTTTCCGTTTTGTCTTTGCATGAACAAGCAGCAATCCAACCTTGGATATGAACCAAATTTTGCTAAGATTTGATAAAAAATAAGACAAACTCCAATGTTGGATTTAATCTTCAATTTCTATTGATCTAGTGATAACATTTGAAAAAATAAAATTTAAAAGATGGAAGTCTTTCGGATTGTTGAAGGCAAAATATGTATGTTCTTGCATAGACTCCGCTAGATTAGATGGACATGAGGGATACAAGTCTCAGAACTATGTTGAAGTAAAAAAATTGTTGCAAATCTGCATTTTCAGTATGCTAATCTGGGAATTGCCTATGCAGGAGAATATTCCGATTGAAGAAGTTTTTGAAAAGCTAAAATGTACAAAAGAAGGTCTAAACTCAGATGAGGTTCAAGCGCGACTAGAGCTTTTTGGGTATAACAAACTGGAAGAGAAAAAGGTGTCATATGACTTGTTTCTGCTTTTCTCTGTCTATATCTTTGTATTTCCTGAAAGGTGATTTCATTTGTCATATCTCACATTTATGTTGAATTTGTAACTATCATTTCCTCCACAGGAAAGTAAAATACTCAAATTTTTGGGCTTTATGTGGAATCCTCTGTCATGGGTTATGGAAGCAGCTGCAATTATGGCCATCGCTCTTGCTCATGGAGGGGTAAGTCCATAGGACTATATCTTCTCTTTTATGACTGAAATGTGAACTTGAAAACATGTGATTGCACTCCAAGAATTTGTATCCTTGATTGATTATATGAAACCAATGGCTTTCCAGCACAAGGGTACAGATTATCATGATTTCCTTGGCATCACGGCTTTGCTGATTATCAATTCAACCATCAGTTTTATAGAGGAAAATAATGCTGGAAATGCTGCTGCAGCGCTTATGGCTCGGCTGGCTCCAAAGGCTAAGGTTTGCTTCCTGGCATTTTTCCATTGAATTATTTTCTAGCAATCTATCAATTATTTTGTTTTAATTCTTTACTCTTTGTTTCCTTAATCCTGGAATTTTGTATTTCTCTTACCAAAAAACAAATTGTCTTTCTCAGGTTTTACGCGATGGAAGTTGGAGCGAGGAAGATGCTTCTGTGTTGGTCCCTGGAGACATTGTCAGTATCAAACTAGGAGACATTATTCCTGCTGATGCCCGTTTGCTTGAAGGAGATCCTCTGAAAATTGATCAGGTATTGACTCATGATTCATGCCAAGACCTTGACAACTTACTCTGTACTTTGCTAGATACTAGTGTATGAGTGTTGAGATGCATATATGAAATCAAATTAATCAGGCATAGATAAATACTTTGAGTTAAAACTTCAAGCAAAATAGAGCTCTTTTAGTATTTTATAATTTCCGGTTTAATAATCTCACAAGATGTCAGGTGACTGTAAGAATAGTGGTTTCTTGGAAGTCAATTCTGACTTTTATCTGGGGTTGTAGTGATATTATTTTCTTTTGCAGTCGGCTCTTACAGGAGAGTCACTCCCAGTAACAAAAGGTCCTGGTGATGGAGTTTATTCTGGCTCAACATGTAAGCAAGGTGAAATTGAAGCAGTTGTCATTGCAACTGGAGTACATACTTTCTTTGGGAAGGCAGCTCATCTGGTGGAAAATACAACACATGTTGGGCACTTTCAGAAGGTTGATATTAGAACTCTTTTTAATTAAATAATATTCTGAACTCAATGCTCATAGGCAGTTAAAATATTAAGCTGGCATGCTTTTGGAATCTAAACCTCTGGCTTGGAGATTTAACAACCAAACAAATGATGCTTATGTAATGGGACCAAACAGATTAGATACTTGACAAGAATTCATTTTGCTTGATGGTTTCAGGTCTTGACTTCAATTGGAAACTTCTGCATTTGCTCCATTGCTTTTGGGATGGTTATTGAAATCGTAGTCATTTATGGGCTTCAGCAAAGGCCTTACAGAATTGGTATAGACAACCTTCTTGTGATACTTATTGGTGGTATCCCAATTGCTATGCCAACAGTGCTTTCTGTCACGATGGCAATTGGTTCTCATCGTTTATCTCAGCAGGTCTGTGAAGTTACAATTAGTTAAAATGTCAAATTATGCCAGTTCCCGAATTCTTATGTTGGGAGAGATCAACTTAAAGATTTCTAACTTCCTGTGCAGGGTGCCATAACAAAAAGAATGACAGCTATTGAGGAAATGGCTGGGATGGATGTGCTTTGCAGTGATAAAACTGGCACTTTAACTCTCAACAAACTTACGGTGGACAAAAATTTGGTAGAGGTGGGAACTTTGATTTCTTGATTTTGTTATGTTAGTCAATGACATGATGAAGAACTATTTGGTCAAAATGCTTAAAGATACTTAATTTAGGGTCAGATTTTGGTGGCAAGATTCATGTTGCTAATTTAAGCAAGGGTTTAGGGACGTAAAGGGAGTTCATCTGAAGTATGGCTCCGATGTACAAATAACATATTGTCTATTCAACATCTCCTTGAGTTAGCTTCATTTTCTGCATAAGTTATGAGATCCATTAAAACCAACTGGAAAATTGGAACTTAAGACATGGAATCTTCCATTACAGGTTTTTGCTGATGGTGTTGAGAAGGATATGGTTGTTTTGATGGCTGCTAGAGCCTCAAGGTTGGAGAATCAAGATGCCATTGACGCTGCAATTGTTTCAATGCTGGCTGATCCTAAAGAGGTACTAAGTCTTATTAACCAGTAATATTAATTTTTGAATAATGTAAGGGCTGCTTTACAAGCCCTGTGTTAGTGGTGCTGCTAAACTTTAGCTGGTGATTATTTAGTTGCTTCCTGGAAGTACTGAAACTTTTGATGTAGTTTAATTGTTTATTTCATTGATAAGCCTCAGCTGAGTTGATTTTATTCTGTTGACCTACTGTAAGGCTCGAGCTGATATTACTGAAGTTCACTTCCTTCCCTTCAATCCAACTGATAAGAGGACTGCACTCACATACATTGACAAAGCCGGTAAAATGCATAGAGTGAGCAAAGGTGCACCAGAACAGGTATGAAATAAATCACTTTACAACTACGGTTACTGACCACACCATCACTTAGTATAAGCCTACAAGCTATTAACTTCCTTTTGCATGGTTGTGTGTGTGTTGGGTCTATTCTAGATTCTTAATCTGGCATGGAACAAAGCAGATATTGAAAAAAGGGTCCATTCAATAATTGATAAATTTGCTGAGCGTGGTCTTCGATCCCTAGCAGTTGCCCAGCAGGTAGTCTAGCATTCAAAAATACTATATGCTCCTGGAATTTCTTTTCTTTACTGCATTTACTGAAGAAGAGTTCTCTCATCTACAGGAAGTACCTGCTGGTACCAAAGACAGTCCTGGCGGGCCTTGGGAATTCGTCGGTCTTCTTCCTCTCTTTGATCCTCCACGTCATGACAGTGCTGAAACCATTAGGAGAGCTTTAGATCTGGGTGTTAGTGTTAAGATGATTACAGGTGTGTATCACAGCTGATTAAATTTCCTTTCCCCGCTGCTATGCCATGGAACTCATACCTTCTAGACATATGATTTATGACCCTCCTGTCAAGTGAATATCAGATAAACAAAGACAGATTCAGTTGCTCCAATAATGCTGTTGTTGGATGAATTGGATTCAAAGTTCAATGTTTTTTGCATTAAAAAAAAATTCGTTGGAATTTTCTAGTCTGTATAAATAACTGGCCAATCATTTGTGAAATAGTATAACCAATATCTTTTTCATCCTATTCTTTCTTTAACAAGTGTTTAACGAAACACCTCAGACTTTGTTAGCTGAATCTCAGTGAAATAGGTCAATATTACCATCAGAATAGTAATTTCATTCAAACCATGTTTTCATACCAAGTTATGATGATTTTTACAAGATCTCCACGGGTTCCGTTTCCAGGTGACCAACTGGCCATTGGTAAGGAAACAGGGAGACGTCTTGGAATGGGCACAAACATGTATCCTTCATCGGCTCTGCTTGGTGAAACTAAGGATGAGGCAATTCAAGGTTTACCAGTTGATGAACTCATCGAAAAAGCTGATGGATTCGCTGGCGTCTTTCCTGGTAAATATGTTCGTATGGCTTGAGACATGCACATTTGCTTTATATTCCCTATGCTGACTCCATGCTTTCTGAAGAGCATAAGTTCGAGATTGTGAAACGGCTACAAGCTAAAAAACACATAGTTGGAATGACTGGTGACGGAGTCAATGATGCACCTGCATTGAAGATAGCAGACATAGGCATTGCTGTGGCAGATTCAACCGATGCTGCTCGAAGTGCTTCAGATATAGTTCTGACAGAACCTGGGCTGAGTGTAATCATTAGTGCTGTTTTAACAAGCCGTGCTATTTTTCAGAGAATGAAGAATTACACTGTAAGAGAAAGTTCTCTTTTTGTGATAGAAGGAAGTAGAGACTTTAGTAAATAAATTTAGGTTCATTATCCCCAAAACTTTGAATATCTCACTATTAATGTCTATTTTTCCAGATCTATGCAGTATCTATCACAATTCGTATAGTGGTAAGTATACAGTTTCCCTCTTATATCTTTCCAAATTAATTTTAAACTTTGGTTGCTAGAATCATAGGACAAGTCGCTTAGAATCTTTGCACAACTTGTGATACTTCTCACTGGCAACTGGTTTTATATAACAGCTGGGATTTATGATGCTCACTTGTTTCTGGAAGTTTGATTTCCCACCTTTCATGGTACTAATCATCGCTATCCTAAATGATGGTGCGTAAACGTAACACAACCTTTTTTAAGTTTTTATGGAAAGACAGCTTTTGGATGATATAAAAATTATCATTTCTGATCCTCATCAGTTTTATTTCCTTGATTTATGAATTTATTGTTTACAGGTACCATTATGACAATATCAAAAGACAGGGTTAAGGCATCACCAGTTCCTGACAGTTGGAAGCTCAGTGAAATTTTTGCAACTGGTATTGTCATAGGATGTTACCTCGCCCTAATGACTGTTGTATTCTTCTGGGCAGCCTATGAAACCGATTTCTTTGCGGTAAATGAAATTTGTAATTTATCTTTTCTCGTTAATCCTTGCGTTATGAAGGTGCCCATCCCACCTTCAGGTACTAAATACTAACTCGTGCTTCTTTGATCTCTGTTATCTTAGAATCATTTCTATGTCAGAAACTTAAACAAAAATCAATATGATAAACATGATCATGTTGCCCTGGATAAACTAATTGCACCGCTAGCATCCGCTGTCTACCTCCAAGTTAGCACCATCAGCCAGGCACTAATATTTGTGACTCGCTCTAGAGGATGGTCATTTACTGAAAGACCTGGACTTCTTCTGGTTGCTGCTTTCATCATTGCTCAACTTGTAAGCAGACTACGAATTTTTGTCATTTTGTTTGAATATTGAATATCTCTTGTAAAACTTAGCAATCGGAATGTCAACACTTAGCTAAATTCCGAATACAACTGTAAGGCTTGTAATTTTGTATACTTTCTTCTTTATATAGCTGTATCCTCTTAGAAGAATAGTCTTATATAGATTAGTTGCTTCAGTAACTTTGATCTTTTGTTCTAAACAACGGTGCATGCTCATGACAGGTTGCAACTGTAATATCAGCCACGGTAACATGGGACGTTGCAGGAATCGAAAAGATTGGTTGGGGCTGGACTGGTGTTATTTGGTTATATAACGTTTTGACTTACATGCTGCTTGACCCTATCAAATTTGGTGTTCGATATGCACTCAGTGGTAGAGCTTGGGGTCTGGTGTATGACAATAGAGTGAGTGAAGCCAAAATCTTCCCTCATTACTTCATTCTTTTGCTAAAATTTGGATATCATCATGAGGTAATAACGTGGCCTCGTTTCATTATCTTGTTAGACTGCATTAACAACCCAAAAGGCCTTTGGTAAGGAAGCACGCGAGGCTGCTTGGGCAACTGAACACAGAACTCTCAATGGCCTACAGTCTACAGAGGCAAAGAATTTCACCGAAAAACACACTTTCAGAGACATTAACATCATGGCTGAAGAAGCCAGAAGACGCGCAGAGATTGCAAGGTTGGTTACTAATTTCTCGAAAACGCTTTTAACAAATTAATATGCTCCTGAGAAGACTTAACTAATCTTTTTCATTTCCTGCAGACTTAGGGAGCTTCATACTCTGAAAGGCAAGGTCGAGTCCTTCGCAAAGTTAAGAGGATTAGATATCGATCATGTCAATCCCCATTACACAGTCTGAGTGTGGTTTTGGCTGCAACTACCCTCTTCTTCATTCATAATTTATCTGCCATAGCCATACTTCAGTTATTCACTTGGCATATAGCCTGTAAACTTGAGGAGCTAAGCTCAAATTAAGCCATTTATGTGAAGTATCAATAACCATTTGCAATGCGTTTGTGTTTGTGGCTTTACCATTATCAGTGAGATATTAATTAAAGTGAGATTATATCTGTGTTTTTGAGTCAGTGCCTTCAAGAGCTATGAAGGAAAACTAATAAAATCTCTGCCATGTTGAAATTAATCTTAAAAACTCTTTTTTATTCCTTTCTTTTAAAATTTATATCATTTGTGAATCTTTTCTATCTCTTCTATATCTTTAAATTAATTATGATTGGTAATTATTAAATATTACAACTATTTAGTATATGTGTAATGTGTTGTAGTACCACATCAACAATTCCCCCATGATATCATAATTTTTTTTTTTTTTTTTTTAATGACCGAAGATATCTAAGTCAGTTTACGCATACTTCAACTAATCTTCAGGACCCTAAAATTATCGATCGGGTGAGACCTCTAGCGGTTATCCTTATTAACACCTAAGGAGAGATTCAAACTCAAGACATCTTGAATAATACACTTAAAAATTTTTATCGAACCGTTCAATCACCTGATGATAATTTACCAGGGTTAAAGTTAATGCCCACCACACTTCTATCTTACATATTTATCTACATCGGATTAAGAGATTTAATTATGATAATATGTAATGAACTATGAATTTACCGACGATTCAAAATGTCACAAACTAGAAAGAAAAGAATGTGATGGTAGGTCAGGAAGACTTGAAAATATCAACGAGATATTTATTGATAATCGCTTTGATGGATTGGCCTTTGGGCTAGGAGTTAGGACCCCTTCTATTTTTTGGAGTTATATTAAGAGGCATAAGTTGTCATTTTAAGACATTACAAAATATCTTCCAAATCTATTGCATCATTCCGGGCCCTCTACTCGTTTGGTATACTACAGTCATCAAATTTACAACTACTCTAGAGTTTTTAATTCCTCACTCATTTTCATAATCACCCATATGTTTTCAAATATTATCACTTAGATACTGATTTTAGGGGCATCAATTTAAACCTCCCTTATATTTCAAAAACTATTCTAAATTCATCCCTTACATAAACATGATTAAAAAATTCCTTAACGTGAGAGGGGTATATATGTAGTTTTCTGGAAAGACATATATTCCCTCCGACTTTAAAGAGTGTTAAACGGTGTTTGCTTTGAGGTTGGCTTTTGAATAATTTAAAGGGTTAATAACATTAATCCCCCTAAGAAATGATAAAATAACAAAAATTCATTTAAAGTTTTGAAAATAACATAAGTCCTTTTATTTTTAAGTTCAGGTGTTAAAATAAATGGTAGGAGGGCAATTTGGTAATATTTATGAACTCTCAACAATATAAATTTCTACAGGTCATTAACAATAGTGGAATTTCTATTATTTCCTAAAACCTCAAGGGGGGTATGTCTTTAACACTAATTTCAAATGTAAAGGGTGATTTAGCTAGTATCCCGTTAAAATGAGTACATAACCAATTATTTTGAAAAATTAAGGGGTTATTAAAATTAAACCTAAACCAATATGTCAAAAAATCAATTCCCTTTACAAATATTGAAAATACATTATATAAAGCTTAGGTTATTAGAACCCAAAATTTTGATACAACTCTATCTTCACATTTTCTATTAGTAATTCAAGACATTGCATTGAACTTAAATGAGAAGTTAAAAATAGGTATTTTTAATAGCAATTTATCAACTTTTTAAATTTCAAAAGTAATTATTTTTAATAGCAATTACCAACTTCTCCGACATTAGATTGCAATAAATAATGTATTATTAATTTTGTGTTATTATCTTTAAATTATTATTATTTATATATATTGCATTTGAACCATGTGATACATATGATTTAGAATTGTCAGAACAAAATAATAAGGACAAATTTATGCGTGAAACTGCCTTTTTTCATTACATAGTCTTGGTTTTGAAAGTGTCACGTGTAAATCGTGAGATTTAAAAATTAAAAGTTCATCTTCTGGTTAATTAAAAGTAAAACTTTTATTAGATTAAGCACTACTAAGGTATTAATTAAATAAAATAATTATTCAAGTTTATTTCTTTCTTTAAATTATTCAAGTTTATTTCTTTCTTTAATAAATTCGGAATCTTTGGATGTCAGTTGACTTTATAATACAAATATTATCACAAACAATCAATCAATAGCTAGTAAAACCCAAAAATAAAAAGAATAATAATTTAATCTAACCAGCATTGAAATTTTAGAATAAGACTATTCTCTGTGATACATTTGTAAATGAGTTGTTTTTCAATCCACACCCAAAAACGGGTTGCTTAATTAGTTTCCCTAAATTATTTTATGTTGTAAAGATTAAATTAAAATGAGTTTTTATATTATAGTTCAACTAAATACCATAATAAAAGTGATTTTCAGTTTATTTTGAAATATTTTGATGCCCTAAAGTTCACTATGTGTGACTCGGTGATAAGAAATATCTTTTTTTTTTTAAAAAAGAAAAAAAATAGAGTTAAATCGTCAAGATAAAAAGAGCATGTGTGAAAAATGAATAAAAACTAATGTGAAGGCAACCACCACTAAATACTCCAATGTTCAATTAGAATTTTTAGATATATTTTTTAAGAGGTCATGAATTTAATTTATTTAAATTGTTAAAATAGATGATTGTTGAGAGGATTTATCACTACCAACTTCATAAATCTAAAAACTTAATTGAGATACGAATAACCTAGGCAAGAAAAAAAAAAAAAAATGATGATTGTAAAGACAATCATTGAAAATGAACATTAGGTAACTATTGGAATAGGTAATGGACACATGTTAGTTAGAGCTGGGCCCATTTCCAGCATAATGGGCTTGCTTTGGTTCCCTAAATGTCTCTATCCACTACTGTCCGTTTCACACACACGTGGCTTTCATTATTTCCACTAATTTTTTTATATTGTTTAATAATATCTTATATTTAAGTAACACATCCATGCGTTTAAGCACCAAAATCTTTCCTGATTTGATAAGATAGAAACTCTAATTATTCATTACCAATCATATTTCAGATGTATGATATTGTCGTGGACTCATTAGTACAGTATCATTGCATCTCTAAAAAGCCTCGGCCAGATACCTGAAAATCACGTGATTTAATGCTGTCCACGCAATTTCAAGTTTGAGAGGCATTAACACATTACCAATCGCGCTTTGCAACGCGTGTAACACACTCCTCAGTCATTTTTATTGGGAAACTTATAACCGTGCGGTCCGTGCTATTTATTATTTATGGCATTATTAATTAATGTTGAACAAATTTATCGTTAAACATAGAAATATAAAGTAAGACTATTTAAGGATTGATGCAAAGGTGATGTACAATTATTAATAGGTATTAGTTAATATTTATGATAGGTTCTAAAAACAACCTAGTTAAACCCAAAATTAGAACTTAATGATAATAAATTGATTAAGTAATGAATTGTTTCGAACTAATCCTAAGGGGTTGGTCTGCCAATCAATGAGGTTTGTTTCATTCTTTGAATTCTTAGGTTCAAATCTTAAGATCACTTATCATAATAATATTGTATTTTACATGGTTCTTTAGGCTTGTAGGGTGTTCAATAGATCTCAACAATTAGTTGAGGTACGCATAAGCTTCTTTGGACACCCCAATTACCAAAAAAAAAATTGATTCAAACTTAATTAATATCAACAACAAAATTACAAGAACATGAGGTGATCACCGTCATTAAACAATTATGTATGAATAAAGAGCAACATGCTTATTCTTAAGTATATCTTGTATGAGTTGGATGCTAAATTGTCTTTCTATTGAAAAGTAATTAGCTTAACCTTATACATCTTGTTAGTAGGAACGAGGAATATGCTAGCTCAATAGTCAATACTCTCCTACAAAATATTTTGATGCGGAAAATGAAATTTCAGGTTTGACTTAAATGGCAGTTTACTTCAGCATAAGTTTTTAGTAACATTTTGATCCATTTGAGTTACACTTTAGTCCCTGAGGTTTGCTAAAATGTTATTCATACTATGGGGACCAAAATGTCACTAATTTTTCTTCACTGAAAACAGAAAATTGTTTCTGGGGTATCTCCAAGAAGACGCCAAATTAGTATAAAATACCAAAATAGTGTCCAAATTTTACTCCAATCAAACACCAAAAGCCACAGAAAATTGGTGTGAAACTATTCATCCACACCAAAATATCTTTTATTTCCTTGTTTTTGTTAATTTGATTATTATTTATATTAATATTTATAATTATAATTGATAATAATTATATAATTGAAAAAATAAGAAAAATTAATAATAAAACTTCATTAAAATGCAAATATTAAACTTAACTCAAAATAAATTAACACTAATTTAAACACATTTAAATTAAAAGAAAATACAACATAAACTAGAATAACAATTTTGTATTATGGTAGATTAGTTCCAAATCCTCTAAGATTATCAAAATATTGGAAAGAACTAGAGGTATTTTGAGATCTTTGACCTTGTTGCTGAACTCTTTTTTGCATGATTCTTGGTATAACTTTTACTTGATTTAATAAATGCTTAATTTTATTAAATTAGTTTAATTTTCAAAGTTATTATTAATAGTTAATTAATAAAATACATCATTCTTAATATTTAATTAATGTATACAAAAATAATTAATCAAATGTGTGAAAATTGCACGAATTTGATGTTTGTAGACCTTGTGGTTGGAAATATAAGGGGTGTTTGTTTGAGGTTATGAAAATTAGCCTATAAGCAGATAGTACTTATAAGCCAATTTGAGTTTATAATTATTTGAAATTTAAGCAGTTATGTGTTTTATTAAAGTACTTATAAGTAAGTGATTGATAAGTAGTTGATACGTTTGATAAAATGTGACTTATAAGTATATTTTATTATTAAAATGACTAAAAAGGATATTATAGTAACCTGATCTGTTTGAAATATAAAAATAAGGATATATTATGAAATTTTAAAATTAAATAGAAATAATGTGTTAATATACTTGGTCAAACTAATCTATAAGCAAAGTATTTTTAAGAAGAAAAAAAAGACAGTATCTTTCCTTAACTTATTTTTTTTTCTTATAAACTCAAATAAGTTATAAACAAACACCCCCTAAGTCTTAGGGATGAAATTATTATTATCCGGATTGATGCTCCATTAAAATCACACTCTCTTTGCAGCGCGTTGGAGAAGAAGACCTAGTTTGAAACACTCTCCCTCCTTCAAGGCCTCCAACAGTCCAACTTCAGTCGTCTACGGAGACATTCACTTACATTCCTCTCTATCTCGTCATCCTGTTCGTTAATTACCATTATTATTTTTTACTTTCGTTTTCTGGCAACCCACCAAACATTTTAGTTACCACCCTTGTTTTCTTCCCTTAGCTGTGAGTGAATTGGAGGTTTTCTGTATACTATTTCTTAATCATTCCTTCATTGTGTGTCATAGTCGTGTAACGTCCATTTCACACCACATATCAACCAAGATAACCATTTCATTAATCTCGGTTTATTGGATAAGAAGACGAGCTTAAGTATGTTTTAAATGGGTTGTCAGTTTATATATGTGTTCGTTTTGTAGAATTATTTAAGTATTTTACTTTGTTGTTCAAACTCTAGTTTGTTCCGAAATGCGAATGACGATGAATCCCAAGGTTTTTCTTGTATAAAAGTTACGTGTCAAGGAATAAAAATCAAGTTGTTATTTTGGAAGAGTGTTGTGTGTACTTATCTGGGATTTTGTTAGTATAAATTAAGACGTTGATTTCAGTACTTGATTGTGAAGTTGTGGTGGTTGATTTGGTTCGGTTTAACGTAGTTTAGATTTTAGTATTGTCATTAATGGAGTTGAAACTATTCGATTCCAAGTCTGTATCCGGGATAGCTCACAGTAGAAGACCGTACTCGAGCTTTTTTTCAAGTTTCAGAGATGGGGTTGGTGTTAGATTTTCACCCAAATTGTGCTTTTGCAGAGGTAAAAGATCTTTTTTTCCTTTCTTTACATGATTTTGTTGATAAAAACAGTCAAAACAGTTGAAGACTTGAAGTTTTAGACTTTAAGAATCAAATATATGGTTACATTCACTGATTTTCTCAGCATATAATCTAATCACTGTCAGGTTACAGAATGTTCAGTTCTGTATTTGTCCTGTTTTGAGCTATTTTTTTCTTTTTATTTTTGGTATGTAAAATACTGGAACAGTACATAATTAACCAATAAAAATGCCAAACTATTGAACAAAGAAGCTTATCTATAAACTCAAAGATATCTTATTTTTTTTGTTGATTTGTGTTGAAGGTTGAATTAATGACTTGTTTTTCCCCTTCTTATTTTATTTTTGTGAGCAGGAGCTTTTCCGAGGGTTTCTGTTTCAAGTATTTCAAAGAATGCGTACTTGACGAAGAAAGCTATTGCTTCAAGTGACCCAGAAAAACTCGTAGAAGAAGATTATGTTTATCGGATTAATGGGGCATATGGCGCAAGTTCAATTCTGTTTTCTGGGAACACAAAAGTACTCGAAGCTTCTGATGATGAATATGAAGGAGTTGTTGTTGATCCAGAGGGGTTACCAACTAATCCTGATGCATTTTCTTCTATTCTTCGTTTCTCTCTTTCCCACTGGAGAAGGAGGGTATATTCTCTAACAAACATACATTCCCTTGTATATTCATAGTTTTGAATATTTTATGTGTGTGGTGGAAGCTTTAGAACACTATGGCTAAAAATTTCTTGTTTAAAATTCCTTTCTTTCCCTAGAATGTCTTTAAAATTGTTAATTTGTTCCCAAAAAAATAAAATAAAAATAAACTTAATGATACTCCCCGCCTCTGTTAACTACAGCAAAAAAAGGGAGTTTGGCTCAAGTTGCCGCTGGAACGAGCAGAACTTGTTCCAATTGCTGTAAAGGTACATTCTCTTTACTTTATCTTCCTTTAAAATCAAAACTTTAAACTTTAACTGTAGAATAAATTATGTTGAGCCTATTGCCATGATAACCATTTGGGTAAAAAAATTGAAATATCTTGAAAAAAATTATGTAGAGATGGAAATGAATCACTCTTTACATTTGTATCCGTGAATCTGAGGTAAGTAAATTTGGTTACAGGAAGGGTTTCAATACCACCATGCAGAGCCTGGATATGTGATGTTAACCTACTGGATTCCTGAGGGGCCTTGCTTGCTACCTGCTAATGCTACTCATCAAGTAGGGGTTGGGGGATTCGTCATCAATCACAAGAATGAGGTATAGTTCCTTCGTAGGAAAAAATATGATGTTCTATCTCTTAGAATAGAGAGCAATTTGATTGAATTTGTTTGATAGCTGAATTCGTTTGTGTTTGCATGCCATGAATCTAATTGAATACAGCTTCTTTAATAATGAACATTTCCACAGGTTCTTGTAGTACAAGAGAAATACTGCAATCCAGCATTTGCTGATCTTTGGAAATTACCAACTGGTTTCATTCATGAGGTACAATCTGCGAGTTCAGACCATCACATTTCTGTGCTCTTACGATGTAAATAAAAAGAGAAAAGCTATCAAAGAAGCATGATATCTTTTATGTGCCTATCTTTTATTTTTATTAACAATTTATTTGGTATATATCAGTCCGAGGAGATTTTCCAGGGAGCTGTAAGAGAAGTCAAGGAAGAAACTGGTGTAAGAAATTTGCTATTTTTATTTTGTTTCTAAGGTTATTTATCAAGCCTATTGATATCAGCAGCCATTTCAAAATAATTAATCTTTTTCTTTTCCGAGATAATTAGCTCCATTTTTTTTTTTTTTTTTATTTTAACAGATTGATACTGAGTTTGTTGAAGTGATAGCATTCAGGTAATGACCTTAATTCATTTACAATTGAGTTTGTTGTGTTGGGAAAACGTAAAGAGTGTTCTGTGCTTTGAATTACCTGGAGCCAGAATACGGTTATAACTTGCGATAGTAATTTGAACTTGCTGCAACTTCAATTTCAGGCATGCCCATAATTTGGCTTTTGAGAAGTCAGATTTGTTCTTTGTTTGCATGCTAACTCCCCTGTCAGCTGAGATTCAGGTTGACGATTTCGAAATTCAGGCAGCCAAGGTAATATACAATTTAATATTGAAGGTTTTGGAAGATTAGATTATGCAAGCAGAATTTGTTTCCTCTAGAAAGAAATAGTAAAATCTTTGAGCAGAAACATAATTGGTTTTTCATGGCATTATATTTGGTGATCATTCAGTGGATGCCCTTAACGGAGTTTGTGGAGCAACCACTCATCCAAGGAGACTGCATGTTCAAGAAAGTAATTGATATATGCATTGCCCGGCTGAAGAAGCGATACTGCGGATTATACCCTCATCAACTGGTTTCTACATTTGATGGTCAGACATCCTCCCTCTATTATAACGACTTTGACGCACAAGACACGACCTGTGCAAGCAGTTAAAGGCACTAAAGCAGTGAAATGCTGCATTTCTGTATAATCACTGAGAGAGTGCAATGCAAGTGTGGAGTGCTACCACTTTTCTGCATAATTGAGCTGATATATATATATGGTATAAAATGTAATTAGAAATAACTTTTCTATGTAAATATGTATTCTAATACAGAATATGGTTATTGTATGAAGGGCTATTGCATATTTCTTTCTTTTGCTACCAATAATGTTTGTGTTCAATCTCCTTCTCAATGTATGTATGGGTATGGATGTGATGAAAATCTTGGGAGGAATGCGGTTGTATTTGTATGGGCAATTGGACTTAAACCCAACTCTCTTTAAACTATTAATTAATCCCCCCACAATAATTGATAATTGAAGCCAATGTATAATTTACTTGGTGGAAATTAGGTGGTTAGGCAATTGTGTTGTGAAAATAAAATGCGTACCATAATAACTACATTTAAGCCCTTTGATTATTGATCAACAATTACTGTGAAATCAAATCAAATGGATGACAATAATGATCAAATTAACTTGATCAATTTTAATCTCATTAATATCAAATACTTGTTTATTTGATCTCTGTAAAGCCATCCCAGGAGGGCGGCTCAGGCCTCAGCCCGTAGCCGTGGGCCAGTTCTTTTATGTTATTATCTCAATTTGTGGTCCTTCTGCTTCCCATCTTTCAAAATATCCATATGTTTATTATAATAAGGTAAGTCTATTTGTTCTTCTTGGTTTTCAATTATGTAATTATATACAAATTCATATAATAATTCCCATTAAATACCAAATAATTACACTTGTCCCAGGTTAATTAATTACTAATCACAAATGGTCAAAACTCAAAAGTGAAATAGAAGATAAGAAAGCAATCAAATTACCTAAATAAATAATTAAATAAAATAACTATAAACTTCAAAGTCCCCCACTTCGTCTCTCCTTTCCCTTTCTAAAAGACACCAAAAAAACTGCTTCATTTTCTTCAACACTTCCTCTCTTGGATCTCTGCTCAATTCCCTCCAACTCATCTCTCGTAAGCTCTCTCGCACAATCTATTTTTTGCAACCATACATAATTATCTTGATTTACTTCTTTTAACAATTTTATTCCTTCTATATCTTTTAGTTTCTCTAGGCTTTCTAGGTTTAATTCTCTTATTTTTATCAACTTATTTGTTTTTTATTACCTCTGTTTGGTTACTGAGATCACGTCGAAATGTTTAAAGCCATTGTTTTGGCTCCAATTCAACATAATTTACGAAATCTAGCTCCTCTCAAGTTTTTTTTTTTCGTTTTCCTTTATTTATTTTCCTCAGCAACCAACCGGTTTGAGACAGGAAACTCAAAATTTTTTTTTATGTTTTTTTAATCTTTTGCATTGAGATTTTGCATGTAGAAGCCCTACACGGAATTTCTGTGTTGTGGTAATGTGGCTTTAGTTTTTAATTAGCTAATGTGGATGTTAGTGATTTCAATTTTTTATTTTTTTTTGGTTTAGGCTTTTCTTGGTTTAATGTGGATTGAGATGAGCTGGTGATTTAGAATTAGAGGCTTTGAGGTGTGATTGTTTGAATACAATGCGATTGTTCTCATCAAGCTCAAGCTTCAGTCTGACAAAAGAGCAGAGTAGCGGTCGGAGCAATCGTGTAGCGTTGTTTCTCAATGTGTATGACCTTACACCAGTAAATAACTACCTTTACTGGTTTGGGCTTGGGATATTCCATTCTGGTATTGAAGGTCGGTAGACTTTCTGTTTTCAGTGTTGTATAGTGTCAATTTATTTTTTACTTTTTGGGTGCATATTTGAACAATTTGTTTTTTTCCTTCGATTGTTGGATTTGCCTAATAACTTGTGGCTTATTTTAGATTAGGCTTTTGTATAGTTTCCTGATGGTGGTTGTTAAATTGATTTCTATAAGTTGGGTTGCTGAATTATTGATTATCTGGCACACATTTAGTACTTGCGTTGATGAGGTTTTTGAAAATTGAGTTTGAGAAAAGATATTGTAATACTAATTTCTGGGAATGTTGGTGTCTATGCATTAGTTTAGTATCTTTGGCTAACTGGCTAAGTAAGATGACTTAAAAGGGATACAATGCTTGCTTTTATGGTTTTTGCTTGAACAATGAAAATGGGAAGTCTGTCTTATAAAGCCAAGAGGTTGCTGTCCATTCAGTTTGAGAATTGACTTGAAGAATTTAGTTGATAACAAATCAAGGTACAAGTAGCCAAATGCTTGAACTATCAAACTAATTTTGTTGTAATTCTAAAATGTGGTTTTGTTTTTCTAAGCATTTCTGAGTTTGTTGATTATTTATAGGATATTAAATGATGATACAAATAGTATATGTGGGTGTAAAAACAAAGTGGCTGAACCAAAGCTTTTCTTTGCCTGTGGTAGGTTGGTTGGTTGTGGGGTTGGGTTGGGTTTGGGGGTGGGGGGTGGGGGGTTTGGTGGTTGGGTTTGGTTTGATGTTGAAAACTGACTAAGGATTACTATGTATCTGCTAATTTGGGAACAAGGATAATAAAATCATCCTCAACTCAAAACATAAACAAGATTTGTGGCACAGTTGAGCTTTAGAAACTAGTTCAGCTGCTCTGCCTCTTTCACATAGCATCTAAACTATGGTTCTGATAGTAAAAGGTTTTTGAAATGATTAGGCTGCATCTATACATTGGTTGGGTTCATAGCCTAAAGGTGTAGTTGTTAACAAGCAAAAGGGATGTTGGATTTAAAATATCATCAATATTATTCTGCTTCCTTGGACTCAGAAGAACCACAGTACATGCTTTGTTCTATTGAAGCTATGCTACATGAGCTCTGTGCCTCTTTTGCCATGCTATACTTCTCATGTCCATGTCACAAGCATTTGATTCCACCTCTGTCACTGTTTAAAACCATGATTCATTAAACTGAGAAAGGTTGTCAGAAAAAGCTACGACATGGATTACGCTTATTCTTGTTGCATTTAGCCAAGATTTTTCAAGAAAAAATTAAGTCCCATTTGCTCTCATCTATGCTTTACTCATCTCTTATCCTATGTGTAAAGAAATATGAAAGGCCAAAGGAATTTGGTTCTCAGGCCTCAAGGATCTGCTTGTAAAATTAGTAGCTATACTGGTTCAGATTATGGCATATTGAGAGAGTGATACATGCAATTGCTCAGATTTTCACGAGAGGAATCTTCAGTTGTAATTGATCTTGCTGCTGGATGTACACTACGTACTTTTTATCATTTAAGGGAAAAAAGCCTCTTTGAGTTCCAGCTTCAACACAGTCCCCCCGACAGGCATCGAGTAATTTATAAGGTGCTATCTATGATAATTTATTGCCATTAAAGACAAAAAATAACTTAATGTTTTTATTTTAAGGGAACATAGGAATTATTGAGGCCAGGTCTCGGAAGTTATTACACACAACCTTCTGGAAACCCTGTGGAAGAGCTTCATTCAAAAGGTTGATTATACAAATGCATTCAACCTAAGCTGTATGTTAAAACAATTAGAATTAAGCATAAGCGAGTTGTGTGGCTCATGTTGTAATCATTATATACAAGTTCCTTTTGATGCTATCTTAACCACCATATGAGGTTTGTTCACATAATATGTTGTTCTGAGGTAATTGTATCTTGCTTCTGGATTATAATTCTTATGTCTATTTACCTGGTCTTTATCAGCTCATGGATTGGAATACGGCTTTGGCGCCCATGAGTACCCTACCAGTGGAGTTTTTGAGGTGGAACCAAGAAGTTGTCCTGGCTTCATTTTCAGGCGGTCAGTGTTGTTGGGCAGCACAAACATGTCTCGTTCGGAATTTCGATCCTTCATGGAACAAATTTCTGGGAAATATCATGGGGACACCTACCATTTGATTGCCAAGAACTGCAACCATTTTACTGAGGAAGTCTGTTTGCAGCTAACTGGAAAGCCTATTCCAGGATGGGTAAATCGCCTGGCTCGATTAGGTTAGTGAAAATTATATGTCAAGAAGTATCTCCATTCTAACTGGGGCCCAGATGGTTAAGTAACTGTGCACCATCATATCTGAGGGTACCATAGTGTCTAACTTCATGCCCTTGTAATTGGGCACCTTTTGGCTTGCACGTAACCAGATTATTCTAACATAATCATGTTGTTGTTTGAATTTTCAGGTTCTTTCTGTAATTGTCTGCTGCCAGAGAGCATTCAGATAACTGCAGTTAGACATCTTCCCGATCATCCATCCTATTCTGGTAAGTTTGTTCAGATAAATATGCTTCTGAGGCTTATTACCTGAACATTTTTATTTTTGCTTGTTTTCTCTCCTTTTGATTTATAATAATTCACTTATCGACTGTCATAAAGCGTTGGCATGTGAATTTTGTGCTCATTTTTTTTATGTTATTCCACTTTTGAGGGAAAAAGAATGAGACAGATAAAACACAAACATAGCTCCTTCTATTTTAGTTTATTCATTTTCTACCTATATGATAGATTGGTTTTATCATCTCTTGCGCTACTGGATTTCCCCTGTGGAAAATCTAAGTACCATGATTAAATGATCTAAGATGCTCCGTATGGTTGTCACCGATTGAAATTATGATCTGCTTGTAAATGGTTTGAATGACTAGTGATATTTTCAATGAAGGCTGAGGATTTGTTAGGATGTTTGTTGGGCATGATCCTCTAGGTCCTGAGAACAATGAACCTGTCTTGCCCATACATGGGGAGAATGATTGTGCAGAATACTTTGTGGATTCAGGTCTTTAATTCAATCCTGCTTGGTTGCAGTTTAGTGGATTTATTTTTTGGCTAGAGTACTTGGGGATCTGAGTCTGTCCTCTGATGTATTCAGCCAAAAACATCTGATTCTTCTGTGTTGATTTTTTAGAGAGAAGCCTTGAAAGTGTGGGATTTAAATTCTTTGAATGAGTATTGCTGTAACTTCATTCAATTTGTTATTGTAATGCAGATGATGATGGACCAGAGTCTGTTGTGTCATCTTTAACGGCTGGGAGCGAAGATGAGGAGGCAGATCATCATCTGCTGACTTCACCAAATAGTGATGTTGCTTTTCTAAAAGATAAACCAGTGAGGCTAGCAAAGGAACTACTTTGATTTTTTTCCTTCCAACGATTCCTATTTTTTTTTTTTTGACTACCGTGGGTCTTTAACTGTTGTTTGTAATTGTAGTATAAAATGTAGTGTATCAAGGAATCCACCATCTCAGTTTAATTTGAGCTCTTCGATATCTCTTTTCTATTGCCTACATTTGTTCTAACTCATGATTATGTTCAGCATTCAGCTTGTTACAACCATAATATTCAATTTGTTAATGTGTAACCCTTGTAATTCTAGCGACGTTGATAAATTCATATTAAACGGGTGTATCGGTTTATGAATCTTGTCGAGTCCTTTTATCATATTTCATATTTAGGATATGGTTTTGGCTGCCTTGTTTTGCTTGATGAGAAAAATCTCTGATTGATGTGCAAGAAATTGGTGAGAAAAAGAAATGTTCTAAAAACCGGACTCGATCGGTCTGACTAGTGACCCATGCCTTCTTCGGTTCTGTTTACTATTTTCTATTGTTCATCAAATCCTTAATTTGACTATCGGCGATGGAGAGGCTATCAAGCGTCGAAGTTAGAGGGGTTTTGTAGAGTGGAGGTCGGTGGTTCAAGGGGTAGTGTAGGGTTGAATTTTGGATGCCAAAATCAGTTAGAATTTGGTCGAAAAAATCAACTCAATACGCGAGTCACGACTTGCGAGCGAGACATTACCAAGTGTCAGGGTTAGAGGGGTTTTGTAGAGTGGAGGTTGGTGGTTAAGGTGGTGGTGTCGGATTGAATTTTGATCGTCGGAATTAGTCAGAATTTGGTTAGAAAAATCAAAACCTTAACTGTCGTAGGGGTGTGTTTGTAAGATTTTAAACCTGTAGGGGTTGATATTTTTTAAGAGTGTTTTTGCAAGATTTTAAATTTTTGGGATCATGGACAGAATGCCGGTTCAACCGGTTGGACCGGTCAACCTGAGACCCGGCCCTTGGCACCCCAAGTCGGGTTTCAAAACATTGAGTGAGTGAGATTTGATTGGTGAATAAGGATACAAGTTGATGATAGTGGATGACCAGAGCCAGAGGGATTGAGAGAAATGTGTGCCTTGTTTGAAGAACAATGGTGATGCTGGAGACACAAATAACAAAAGCACTTTATGACAAATACAGATACAGATACAGCCACAGCTACTAGCCTACTTCTTTTAATTGCTAATTCAAAAGAAAGCCGTAAATTAGATGACTTAGCTGAGGATGTTAAGACTTATGCCCAATTATGAATTATCTTTATTTAAGGGCCAAAAACTTCTAAAATATAATAATTCTAAAAAAGTTAATACAAACAAACTTATCTTGCCGAGTTATTTGATGAAAATATTAAACAAAGGTTTAATAAAGAAAGACCGTGTCTGAGGGTGAATGGACTTGGGAAATCTGAAAGCGGCAGCCCAACCAATGGATTTCATTCTACATAAAACATTTGCAAATAGTTTAGTCTGAGTCCCAATCAAACCTCTTTCAGTAACTACGACCGCTCAATTTTCTTGCCCAAAAAATACTCAAGACTAAGAAGGTTGGAGAGACTTGCAAGGCACTCGTTTCTTTTGAGTCAATTGGAAATATCCCACCTCTTCTTTCCAGCAAAAAGAAAAAGAGAAAAGAGAAAAAGGAAAGTAAAGAAGAGCTTCAGCGCCTTCACTGAAAAAGACAATATAACCAATACTAATACCCAAGCAGGCTTAAACCAACCATTAGCAGTTGAAGCTCTTGTTTATTTGACATTTGCAGTAATGGCTTCCTTTTTCTGCTTCATTCTCTTTGTAACTTCATTCTATGCTAACACAAACCCCATTGAAGCAAGCTGGCCTACTGTAAAATGCAGTCATGACACACCTGAACCTGATATTCATTTCCCTTTTCGGTTGAAAGGCCAGCTGCCTCAACACTGTGGTTTTGAGCTGTTTTGCAAAGAAAACACCACTATGATTCACTTCCCATCTTATGGTGACTTGGTTGTGAAATCAATCTCTTATGATACCAAAAAACTCCAACTTCTTGACCCCAAAAATTGTGTACATGAAGTTTTTCTGAATCTCAATCTTTCTACTTCGCTCTTCCGCTATTACTACGTTGTGAAGAACTACACATACCTCAATTGTTCGGCTAGGCTTCCGCCTTCTTTCAAGAAAGTTCCATGTTTAAGCGGCTCTACACATTTTGTTTACACTGTGAAACCTTCTTTGGCTGTTCCATTGTCTTGCAGCGTAGTGAAAACAATTGCAATTCCGTTTGCATATAGTCCTTATATCTCTGACAATACTTTCGGACTTGGACTAACTTGGGAATTGCCTGGATGTGAAGACTCTGAAGGAAAAGGAGGCCTGTCTAAAACAACATTTCTCAATTACATACCATATCGTCCAGGCAAGTTTTCATTATTTTTGCTCATAATTAATTCCTTAGAGGTTTTCATTCCATACTTGTTTCTTATAGTGATTCTGTATAACAAAGCTCAATAGCTCATATATCTGCAATCATGTTCAAAATTTTATTTTTGTGTCTATATAAAAAATTAAAATAAAATAGGGAAAAACTTATCTGATTATAGGTGTATAACTTATTTGGTGCCAAAATCAAATAAAATAGTAACAGTGAAACAAGAATCGGATAAAAATGTAAGAATGTATACAGGAGATATTTACTAATAGTGTTGAGCCACTAGTATGTTATAAAGAAATCACTGGTCCATGGACAAAAAAGTAAATGCAAAAATGGGATCAATATAAAGAAAATAAGAAATAAATGGCTTTGGGTATTTCTCCATATGAATGACCTCTTTCTTTCTTGACCTTGTCTCTAATTTACATTGATAGTAATTCATCTTTGTAAAGCAGGTTTGATGTGAAAGCAGGGCTATACCTTGAGAATCCTTGATAATCAAACATTGGATGAAAAGTTCAGATGCAAATTTGGAAGGATGGTTTTAGATTTTTGTCTTACATTATCTTGTGTATATGTAATACAACTTTTACTTAAAAAGAAATAGGAGGCTTTCTCCATTATCTTGGTATATAGTAATGTTAGTAGTGTAAATTTCACGGCAACATTAATTGTCATTGTAAAACTTACGTTCACTAATGTTACTCATGTAATGTTAATGGTCTACATTTGTTGTTTCAGTTTTTCAAACGTTTCATGTTATGCTTCAGTTTCATCCGTTTTGCAACCATTATAACTAGAGTTTTGATAACCATTAAGATTAGCCATTAAAGCTTGATGGGAGCTTGGCTATAAATTGAGATTTTGGTCCTTAGCTCACTCACTCAACTAAAAAAACAAAATACACCATCATATTCAGTGTTCTGAGAGCTTAGAAGAGCCAAAACGCGAGAGAGAACAGTGAGTAAGTGATCGAGAGCATCATTGGTTGGAGGTAAGTTTCTTGTTTATTCTTTATTTATTTTGATCACTTTAGTTTGTCAATTCTGCATATAGGATTAAAGATTATCTAATATTTGGTATTAGAGCTTACAATACCTCTGCCTTGATTTTTTACAAAATAAATTTTAAAGCTTTTTGTTCATGGCAATTTTTGTTTTCAAAATCAAAGTTTTTTTTTTTAGTTGTTTTTTAATGCAAATAAATGTTAAAAAATTGGATTTCTATCATTTTTGGCTTTGAAACAAGCATTTTGGTGTTTAAATGGTGGATTTCCATCCGGGTTTGGCTATTGGGTCGTTTTCGGGTTGGGTATCCAGTTTCAAAACCGTTCTAAGGTTGAAGCTGACTGGAGCCCAAGATTAGGGGTGTGGAAATCCGGTTAACCAAACCGGATGGGGTGTTTTTTGAACCGAACCGGTTTTTCGGTTCAAACAATATTTCGAACCGAAACCGAATTGGAATATCATGTGAACCGATTTTTAACCGAACCAATAATTCGGTTTAAAAAAGGGTTAACCGGTTTTAAACTGGTTTCATACAAAATCTTAGGCTTTGTTTGGTTCAAAATTTGGAGGTTTTGGGAAAAGTTTTTTGAAAAAAGTTAAAAAAAAGTTGAATTGGGTGGGTATTACGATGTAGGATTTATAAGTTATTAAAATGCCCCTTATGTTCGTTTTTTTATAAAATACCCCCGATAATAAAACATTAAAAGTTAACAAAAACACCCCCAACCCACCCTCAAATACGGAATACCCCCAGTCGGCCACCACCACCGAAGGTGGCCGGAGTAGCCTTATCGGCTGGATCTTGCCGGTCATGCGCCGATATGGCCTTTTCTGACCAAATCCACGGTGGATCTGGTCGGCAAAAGGCCAGATCTGGCCGTATTTGCTCTCAAAGACGGCCAACAAACGGTCGTCGTTGATGGCCAACGACGACCATTTGTTGGTTGTCGTGACCGACTGTTATGGCCAAAGATCTGACATTTTCTTGCCAGATCCAACGTAGATCTGACCGAAAAAGGCTAGATCGGCGCACTACCAGCCAGATTAGCTGGTAGTGCGCCATCCTACCAAATTCCGGCCATTTTCTGACGGTGGTGGCCGAAATCTGGTAAATGTGGATTGTTGGAGTGTTTTTATAATTTTTAAAAAAATATTTAGGGGTATTTAATTAAATTAACAAATTTAGAAGGTTTAAAAAAAATTGAATAATATTGAAAATAGTATTCTAAAAAATGAGAGCTCCGTTTGGTTGCCAATTGGGAATACTACTTTTAGTATTCCAAAAAAAGTTAAACAGTAAAATACCCAAAAACTTTGATTTTCGAGAATACTACTCCCAATATTATTCAACTTTTTTTAAACCCCTTAAATTTTATAATTTAATTAAATACCTCTAAATATTTTTTTAAAAATTACAAAAATACCCCAGTAATTCATATTTACCAGCTTCCGGCCACCACTGCCGGAAAATGATCGGAATCTGTTAGGATGGCGCACTACCGGCTGAATCTGACCGGTAGTGCGCTGATCTAGCCTTTTCCGGTCAGATCCACGGTGGATCTGGCTGAAAAAGGCCAGATCTTTGGCCGTAACGGTTTATAACGACGACCAACAAACAGTTATCGTTGACATCGACGACCGTTTGTTGGTCATCGTTGACGAGAAAATACGACCAAATCTGACCGGCAAAGGCTATATCAACGCACGATCGACAAGATCCAGCCGGTCATACGCCAATACGGTGAACCCGACCACCCTCCGACAGTAGTGGCCGACTGTCCGTATTTGACATTGGGTTAGGAGTGTTTTTGTTAACTTTTAAGATTTTATTATAGGGGGTATTTTATAAATAAATAAATATAAGAGATATTTTATTAATTTATAAATCCTACATCGTAATACCCGTCCAATTCAACTTTTTTTCAGAAAACTTTTCCCAAAAACAGCCAATTGTGAACCAAACGGAGCCGAGGGTTTTTGGGTATTTTAATGTTTAACTTTTTTGAGAATACGAATTCCCAATCTTGAACCAAACGAAGCCTTAAATTCCAGAACAATTTCACAACATAACTTATTCACTATCTCCGATTATTCTCACAACAAGAATCAACAAAATTCAAAACTGCAAAATAATCCCAACTTTCTTCCCAATCTTTTAACACTATTCTCCTCAATATTTTAACTTCCTAGTTGCATTTACAAGACGAAAATCATGGATTCATGAAGGAAAAATAGAAAATAAAAAACTTAAAACTAAGAAACCCATTTGCTATAGATCCGATGGTTAAAGAAAATGAGAGATGAGAGTGGGTTGGTTAAGGATAGGTGAATAGATGTGGGAAAGAGAGGCTTGCAGTTGCGCTATTGCGGATGGTGGTGGGGAAGCTTGTTACCGATGAAGGTGTAAATGGTTTCCCGGTACCAGATCGCAACCAACCGGCAAAGGCTTCGATCTAGATTGCTGCACGTCGCCGACAACCAAACACAGCTTAGCATCTGGATTTAAAACGTGAAATAATGGTTTTTGTGGAAGAGAAAAATGGTGTTGGTAATAGTAGGAGAAGGAGGAGTGAAGATAAGTAGGGGCCAACTGGGGACTGTGAGAGGTGGTGGGTATTTGAAAACGTGAGTGGAGCCTTTTAAATTTTAATTAAAGATGGCTAGAGTTCCAAGGAGGCAAGGAATTAAATGCAGTGCCGCAAGAATTAAAGGCAGTGTCTTTTATATTTTTAATTCTTATTTTTTTAACTCTCTCTCCCTTTTGGTTTTAGATTTAACTTTTTTAAAAAAAAAAAAAAACCGGTTCGTAAAACCGGTTTCGGTCTGATTTTCGGTTTTTTTTTCTTTTTCTTTTTGTTTGCAGCCCTACCCAAGATTAATGACATGTAGTTTACCCGTCAATAATTTTTTTATTTTTAAATCTTGCGGTTCTGGTATTTTTAAATCTTGCGGTTCTGGGACCCATGATCTCCAAGTTAAAAGGTATGGTCTTGAGCCCAACAGGCAACTTGACGTTTTTGTGATTTAATTGCTAAAATGCTATTTATACTTCGTCTAGTTTTGCTCATTATAATTATGCATATTATATTAATTTTGGTTTAATCATATGCATTTTTAGATAAGTTAAACTCTGCAAAATCCTAAATTAATTATGTTCATATTTATTTTTCATGAATTGATTATATCTTTCCTAAATTAATACATGCAATTTTTGAATGAATATATATGGATAAAAGCATGAAATTAAATGTTATGCAAATTATGCAATATTTTATGCATAATAATAACATGTTAGTTATAGATTAAATTATGCAATTTATTTTTATATTGAATTTCCTTATGCTGGAGAAATATTCTCATAAAACTTAAATTTATAATGTCTTGTGATCCATATAATTTTAATTAATTAGAGATTAGTCACAACATCTTTAGTTAAATAAAATTATATATTATGACTGCTTAGGATCATGTAAAGAATTTTAGACATTAATTGTAATTAATTATACTTAATATAATAAATTTTATCCCATAAATTTTGCTATATTTATATAATTAATTAGGGTAGAATATCAAATTATATTTCTTAATTTACCCACAAGAATTTGGAGAAGGAACATAATTTGATAGTTTTATCATAAAGATTAAGATAGAATATCAAATTACTCTCATAATATACCCACTAATTATGAATTAAGAACATAATTTGATAATTCTATCATAAGTTATACATGAATCTACTTGAATTAAAATTTTAGCCCGCGGGCAAATTTTATATCATTAGATTCAATTCTTACATACTTTGCATTGGTAAAATACGAAATTTATTTAATTAGACCTCAAGTTTTTGACATAAACAATTTTAATTAATGCAACTTCACAACCTACTAATTTCTCTGATATTCGTTGCGATATCCCTAAATTCAAAAGTGATAACTATAAGGTATGGAAGGAGAGAATTCTCCTCCATTTAGGATGGATGGATATTGACTATGCTATTAAGAAAGACGAACCACCAGCTATCACTGATACCACCACTCTAGTGGACATCACACTTTATGAACAATGGGAGCGAT